CGAAGCTATCCTCAGCCCTTTATATACGTTAGGAAAATGGATGGATGGATGCATAAATACAATTTTACAACTGCGAATACCTTCATAAATCATTTTCCCTGGCAGACTAAGTATGGAATAGACGACATATTTCATCAGATCCTACGCAATTTATATATCTTTATCTACAAGATAACGCCAGCTTTGTACGAAATGTCGACTTCTTCAGATAAACCAACTGTTCTGGCGACCGGCCCTCGTAAATAACTCCAAGGTCTCGTTTTATCTCGTTTCAGGATCGGTTTGTGGCAGGTCGCGATCGATAGAAATACGACATCTAATGGGAGCATTCTGGAAGAAATATTATACCTATCATCGACCCGTCTTCTGGCTTGTATAGACATTTCCAAGGCTTGGCAGATCTAACACACTTAATATGTTTTGCTGTCGTTGGTTACTCAGAGTCTGTAGGGGCCATGTACCTTATCCAACATGGCGGACAAGGGCAGACAACCGCATGTAGTCTGGGGGATTAGGGAGCATTTCGCGTGACCACGAGGGACACTTGAGTTCAGATTGTATAAAAAGATTCTCGTGATTGACTTGGAATCTGGTCTTGATTTACTTCTGTAGTACGGTGTGCCGGGAAGCCAAATTTATGATATTCATGACGTTGGGTAGCAAAGGACGGCATTGTGCAGCTAGGTTAAAATGAGTGCTTGCTCCAAGTATACATAAATCACGAGTCAAGAGAAGAGCTGTCCTCTATGTTTAAATTGTCATTGGATTTCAACTGTTTTCTCTGATTCCGCCCATGCGCATATCTCCGTGTGAAGATGAGTGAGTGAGTGAGTGAGTGAGTGAGTGAGGGGTTCAACGCTGCTTTCACAAGAGTTGACCTCAAATTGGAAAACACAGCAGGTTTATCTACCAACTGTAACACGATTTTAAAAGAACAATCACGTACTCTATTTGACAAATGAAAGTTAAAATCGGAACCAGTGACCAACAGTTATCACGTGTCTTTCCTGCATACCCCCACCCACCCCTAAACAACCCTCACCCACAAACTCACCACAAACCCACCCGCCCCCACCCGCCCCCCACACCCACCCATCAAAACCCTACGCCCTCCTCTAACATACATAGTCTCCACCTCCACATTGAGATTCCGGGTTCGATTGGTCCCCAGCAACCAATGGTGGTCGAATGAGGTGACCAAATAGGTGGTCAGTCTCGGTAACTTTGATGATTGCGTGTCATCTTTCCCCCACGGCGTAGATCGTTGTTAATAATACCAATCACTGGATTGTCTGGTCGCCGCTATATAGCTGGGATACGGCTGAGTGTGGCGATAAACAAACAAACAAACAAACAAACAAACTCCCCATTAACCTCACCCAAAATACGCCCGTCCCTCCTCAATATGAAATATAACTTGGATATGATTCACTGCCTAGTGTGCACCCCTGCCTCCTTCACGTCCACGCAACCACCACCACGCATGTCTTTGTGCGTCATCGTCTCCGACAACCACGCTTTGGTTACAGACATAAACGACTGGGGTCTCAGCTTGCTGCGGCGTTCTCCTACCTTCATACAGCAATGCGATAGATGTGGTTAATTAGCTTATAAAAACATACGTTTCAGCCTAATGTAGCAGAGCTATAAACATGTCTCCTTGACTGGGGTTATTAGATATTGCCATACATCAAGGTTGAAACTTGTGCCGCCATAATGGCTGCTGTCAAGATGGCTGATTTATGAGTGACGTACCGCTAAATCCCGTACCGTGTCTTTTAGACATAGACTTGTAGTCAGCCCCAGCTGGGCGGCGCTCAGCCAGCATGTGTAGCCTTCTCAATATCGGATTCTTTCGCTTTGATTTTTAACGCTGTGAGATTTAACTGTTCGTAGACACAAAACATTTCGTGATCGGAGATATTCAATTTTTAAAGATGTTATTTTTTTTTGTTTCGTAAGAGCATGAACGTTTTGCGTAATTCTGATGTGTAAAAAGGCTTCTAAAAGTTCTAAGCTTCTTGTTCATTAAAAGTTTAACAGTCTTGTACAAATCCTATTTGTACGTTAATCGCAGTCCTGGTAATCAGCCACGACTAGTCAATCAATCGTTCAATTGAGTAGCAGTGTTGGAAATAGCTGCCAGCCCGCTAGCCAAATGCCAGTGACTTTTTAATTGGGCAACTAACATTTCCGTAAAACTGGCTCGACTGTCTAGTTGAAAATTCTATTCAAATTTCCATACATATATATTTCTACGAATCAGCAAGTCGATTAAGTGTTATCTAAGATCTGTTATTTTGCTTTCATTTCGTAGATAATCGGAAACCCATGCGCAATAGTAAACTGGGTTTTGGCTGTACAGTGATTATGACTGATATACGCGTACATGTGTTATTAGCGATGCGTGTGAAAGTCCAAGAACCACCCAAAACGTCAGACATTCGTATTGTTCCCAGCAGGTTCGCAGTTGTTTAGCGCAATAATCACACAAAATACATTTAGCAAAACAGAACATAGGCCGTAGCAATAAAGTATGGCTAGTCAAATATGTTGAGGGCTTACAAATGTTTTTTTATTAACAAGCCCACATGATCAGTGATTTTGGGCTTCTAATTCTAACACTGTTGAGTAGCCCGTCGAGCCACGTCACGTAGATATTCATCAACAGCGAGGGTAGCCCAAAGAAAATGACTGACAAGCACTAAAATGACACCTAGTCAAAGCCCTGACACAAAGTCAAAGTCCTCACCACCAACATCTAAGAATTCAAAATCAGATAACTACATGAAGCCATCAACATTAAAAGACTCCAACCGTCAATCAACCGTGAACAGGGCTACTACATTCTCCCGGCGTACCATCAACTTACCAAAGACCCCAATCAGGCATAATCCTGTTGTTTATATTACTGACTTCACCGGTCATTATGTTTACCACCCTTTTTGTGTACATAACAGGCTTCTCTCCTCCAGTGTAACTACATCTGATACCTACTCTACTGTATAAACACTGCCTCCTACCTGTATACATACTTGTCAACCATATACTCTTGATATCACTTGCTTGATAACGGTGTAAGAACCTACACCGAAACGTCGCTCCTAACTGATCATCCATATATCTTATCCTTACTTGACACTTAGTCTCTGAAAGAATATACTTTTCATAAAACCAACATCTCTTCATTTAAATTGAAAGGAGCCCCAGTGAGATGCATGAACCTGAGGAAAATCTAGACTTGCTTCACTTAGAGCTACAGCGTTACAGGGCTGGTTGGAAGGGAAAATAACATGGTTCATTGGCTGTGAGGCAGTCTTGACAAGCACCTGTATGTCAGAGGTAACCTCCCAAAACCCCTACATCCCATTTCCCCTACAGCTTAAGACAACAAAGTTCACGGTCCATGGCCCTGCTAATCCCTAGTCTGTTACCTATTTCATACAATGGAACAACCCAAGAATCACGAATAGATTGAGATAAATATTTAATTACGATAACGATATTATTCAAAATTCCTAATACATTATATTAAAATGTTCATTTTTCAAAATTCATAATACATTATAATAAAATGTTCATTTTTCAAAATTCATAATACATTATAACGAAATATAACAGTGTACGCAAGTCAGTCTCTCGACGTTCTTAGCGTGAAGATAACCATCAAATAGGACTTGGGGCTTTCCTCTCTGTGACATAACAAACTCAACATAGCGAAGACCAGACATGTTGATGTCATGTTAGTCAGTTTCAAGTGTCTATATACTAAACCTAGACATATCAACTGTAAATCGTCTCATCTCAGTTTCTCAGTGTAATAATTGTTTCTTCCTATTGTTATTTTTGCAATTTCTAAAAATTGTTTTGTCATCATACAGGCATCTTTCATTACACTTACATTAAATTACTTTGTTTAAACTTTCCTTTAAGTCCCCCAATCCCCTAAAGCTCTACCCCTTTCATTTCTACTACCTCTACTCCAGACCTTAATCTTTCCTTTAGGTGAGTTCATAATACCAGACAGGTAAATGCCGCGTGTTGTTTTAACTAATTGTAGGGGAACTGGGTTGTAGGGGAAATGGGATGTAGGGGTTTTGGGAGATAACCATGTCAGATATCATTGTCTCAATTTGTTGTCGTGTTATTAGTTGCAGAGATATAATTATACACGTGGTCGGCAGGCATAGCATAGACTGTCTGCCAGACCCCAGAGAATACTTTTAAATACGATTCCAACTCAAGCCGAGCATGGTTTCGTAAGTCTAGATTGCCTCAGCTGTCCTGGGCTTCATTTGGATATTCTTTTTCATTTGAAGATAAATATTTTCAGATTATGCGTCTTTATTTCTAGGACTAAATATCAGTCAAGGAGCAGAATGCATTTAATGTTTTATTAACTGCTTTCACGATTTTCTGGGTCTGATTTGTCAGATATGTTTGTAATGATTGTTTCTATAGGAATTAGTGAGTGCGTTAGTGAATGAGGTGGATTATACGCTTTGAATAGTCATATCACGGAATGTCAGACAGTACACCCACTTTACGATGTTACCAAGGGGCAGGAACATTGTGCTTACAAGCAAGTATCATAATCAGAAAACGAATATTCGGATCCTGTTGTGGCCAAGGGAGGCAATTCACTAACGCGAAATGCGGCTCCCCAAACACGCGACTAACCGTTACTTGATGGAAAAATATAATTCATTTCGACCTTAAGTCACAGAATAAAAAATAGAAACGAACTCAACAATCAAATCATGAGAGATCGACGGTTTAAATCGTTACGACTTTGCTACATCACAAGAGCCCGGGTACGGTGCTGATACACATAGATATCACAGAGACTGACTCAGGGTGACATCGGGATTCGAACAAGCGATAATGGGTTTATCGCCCGCCTAAGTGAAGCAACGTTGCAGAGCTAATTGCGCCGCATCACACGTTAGACCAAGCATCAAGCTAAAGAAGAAGCATGTTATCCCTTAGTATGTACTTACATTATTCATGTCTATTCCGTTGGTGTACGTCCAGGCATGCTGAAAGGACTCCATCAGCCTGTTGCCTAATGTCTTGTGAATCTCGTGGAACTTGATGAATTCCTTGATGCTCTCCATCTTCTCATTGTATTCCTCCGAACCCTGATACAGTCGCAACATGATGGAGGAGACGTTACCGAAGATGGCGGCACTCAGCAGGGCTGCAGAGAGACGTGTATGGATCGTGTCAGAGATAGAATTACTTACACCCTATCTTTGTCATTGTATAGGAGGACGAGGTCCATCAACGGGTGATGATAAATAGAGAATCTCACCCGAGTGTCTTTTGGTATTAAATATATATGCACGAGTCGATAAAAGTTAAAAACTTTGGGTGATAACAAACATTATGATTGGAATCTTAAGAAACACGCTGTAACAACCATAAGTCATCCAATAAATATACGACAGAATTGTTTCTTTCCTTAACTTCTTTTGAGTAGTACATATCAATAAATCATATTAACAACAAATGCGGGGAAAACATCCCCATCTCATATTTATTAATATTTTTTATGATTTAATGAAAAGGAATAGTTTTTAATCTCGCCTTCGATCTCGCAATGAATCACCAGACCACCAAATAAAGAATTTTGAAATATGCTTGTCTGATCTTATGAGAAATATGTGTTTTATTTGTTAGTCTGAAATCTCTTTAGGGGATATTACATTGTATTGCTTGAAACACACTCTAACTGGTTTAGCGGCTTTCAAAAATGCTCATTGTCTGAACTTTGTTTTTCGCGAGCTTAGAGTCTTTCAAATCAACAAGGCCTTAAGACATGATCCTTAGGCGTTCAATCTGCAAGTTGAGATGAAACAGATTCGACAAGTGGGAACGTTTTAGGTGCAATAGATAAGGAGGTAGTTTTCCAATTTAGGTAACCTGTCCCTGTGGCCATGATGGAGCCTGACAGCACAATAACTGATGCTAGCAAAATCTCTGATGCACGTGACTAAATCAATAATCTCGGTAATCAGATTTATTTACATGACCAAAGGGAATTTGCTTTAAGCGCAAATATTTCTGAACACTGTCGTACGGGTTATTAGCTTATTCGTACGACGAAGTTCATTACGTCGGTCCTTGCATAGGGGCGCTTTGTTAAGCATTTCCAATACGCGGATCAATGGAAGATCAAAGGACGCCGAAGGCAGAATCAATATGGTTTTCAGTGCTGGAGAGTTCCAAAGACCTGTGTAAAGATGTCTTCAATAAGAGATCGGATAGGATCGGGGTCAAGCTGAGGGTCAAGCTAGCCACGTCCACCCACTGATCGCATGATGGTCGTAATGAAAGCCAGACGTAGAGATTGGACGTCACATATTCGTATCATTCGGTCCGGCCCGGTCGATCTAACGCTTTCTTCGCTTGTGTCCGGTCTATAAGAAAATCCCATACTCTAAGATGTTAGATTTACATAACGCTTTATTTTGTAAGGATTTGATTGCATTAATTTGCCACTTAGATGATATCTATAAGGATTTCCCAATCAAGGAAAAATTATATTTGCGTTACCTCAAAAACGATATTGATACTCACCCTTTCGTCCACTGGGGGATAAAAAACCTGGATTGCGGTGAGATTATATCGGGCTACAACTTGGACATCATGAGATAATCAGCGATAACTGAGATAGATTATCAGATAAATATTATGTGTTTTCAGATTTAAGTTGTTATTGAATATTTGATACCCGGAAATCTCATGGATGACGGCGTTACCTGGAGTGAGTGAGTGAGTATGGTTTTACGCCGCTGTTAGCAATATTCCAGCAATATCACGGCGGGGGACACCAGAAATGGGCTTCACACATTGTACCGATGTCGGGAATCGAACCCGGGTCTTCGGCGTGATTAGCTAACGCTTTAACCACTAGGCTACCCGACCGCCCCTCGTACTGTTTAAACTAATGAACACATATAATCTTGAAGCAAAATACGTTGTACCGATGTCGGGAATCGAACCCGGGTCTTCGGCGTGATTAGCTAACGCTTTAACCACTAGGCTACCCGACCGCCCCGCGTTACCTGGAAGTAGCTACTGCGAACATATTCAGACATCACGTGCTAAATAACCCCAGCTAAATCTGAAAACATAGTGTTTATCGACATTGTTGCATATAACACCAGTCTGGAGCACTCACCCTACGCCAGCTGTGACAAAGACAGAAATGACGTCACGCTAGACAAGCTCCCCACAGTGCCCTCTACAACCGCTGCCAACAGTCACCGCTCCCCACAAGGCGCACTACAACCCTGCATGGAGTTAAACTCGCATCCAACTGCCCGTATTTGTTACAAATAAGTGATGACTGACGGGACGCCGGACCCCCACCCCCACCCCCGTGTATGAATTGGATGGGATTCCAAACACTACATATTGATAAACGAACTTTACACAGATTTCAGAAGATGTCCTCAGTTTATGATGTGTCACCACAATCTCCAGATGCTGTCACCCATGGACGTTTTATGTAGGTTTCCATAACGTTTCTCGAAATTTAGGGTTTTGAAACGTTTTTTCGAACGTTTTTGTAACCATATGAAAAAGTTTTTAAAACGTTTTCACAAGGTTTTTAGGTTTCCATAATGTTTTTTGCAAACATTTTTTCCTGGAAAAGTTTTGAAACTTCACTCATTTAGGTTTTTACAACGTTTTTTTGAACGTTTTTTTTGTAACCATATGGAAACGTTTTCAAAACGTTTTAAAAATGTTTCTGTATTAGCTGTGGGGTAACAACAAGACCATCTTCTAAAGTCTTTGGTATGACGTGGTCAGGTGTCAAACCATCGACATTCCTTTCTCCGGGCGGACACTCTATCCCCTGGACCACTGATCGTAAGAGGCGACTGTCGGATGGTCAGTCTCGCTGACTTGGTTGATGCATGTCATTGTATCCCAATTGCGTCCATCGATGCTCATGATATCAATCACCGGATTGTCAGGTCCAGACTCGATTATTACAGACCGCCGTCATATAGCTGGACTATTGCTGATCGCGGCATTTAACAACAAACAAACAAACAAACAAACAAACGATCACATGTTTCTCGCATCCTTAGGGGACATAACTCTGCACATCGATTCCCTGCACCTCAGATAACTGAACCCCTTCGTCCCTACTCCACAGAGGGCGTGAATATCAAGGCCACTGCTGCCATTCTGTTAAAAAACGTGTGTAAGCGTGCTGTTTAAGTGAGTGAGTATTGTTTTACGCCGCTTTTAGCAATATTCCAGCAATATCACGGCGGGACACCAGAGATGGGCTTCACACATTGTACCCATGTCGGGAATCGAACCCGGGTCTTCGGCGTGACGAGCGAACGCTTTAACCACAAGGCTACCCGACCGCCCCTCGTACTGTTTAAACTAATGAACACATATAATCTTGAAGCAAAATACGTCAGGTTTTTCTGCAGATGAAATCTCGTATCGAATTTACGCTGAAGAATGAAGATTTATCTCGTGTTCGCGGGAGTCCTTGCAATATGTGGGGCATTTCACAGCACGTATAATTCTCTTGTTCGGCTGACATTTACCGGGGATTCCGACACTAGCGCTGGGGATGCTTAGATGTTATTTGTCAAAATGAACAACAGATAATACAGATGAAACAGAAAAAAAGGATACAGATCCCGTTTGAAATGTGTTCTTTGTCAGAGGAATAATTTGCCTGCGATATTGACAGCGCTCTCACACGGAATCTCTGCTATCAAGCTTCCTAATACGCCATCAAAGAAATGCACGTTGAAATGAAGAGTTGTGGTAAAAGACAATATTCTGGTTGGAACAATTGGCTATAATTCATATCCCTATGTCCTCAATTCAATGCAAAGGTTCCAAAGAATGAAAGAAAGGCGGAAGGAAAAATAATTATTGATTAAGATGAAATAAACTGACATAACGCCGAACCTGATTCAACGACAGATAACTCAATATTTCCACATGAAGGTATTTTTGATGAATCTTTTTTCGGAACAATCACTAAGATTAGACATTTTAGAGTTAACCATTCCTAGAAAGATTTAATAGAGCGCGATTCATCATCTGCCGCTGTGTCGATGGACCTCTGAAAGGCCCGGTAGATGTCGCCCAAATATCAGACATGCGTATTGAACAAGCCTGATGGGTTGGAATGAAAATATGGATTGATGTGGAAACGGACCAGGTGGGGATAATATTGGAGAAACATCGATAAGAGGTGTCTTGTCGAGCATCTAAGCTTTTATATTGCAGTGCCCAAAAGTTTGGGAAGTAGCGCGAGGGAGGGTTAGTGGGGATGGCGGGCGAGATGGATCAATAAGAAAAAACTTTTCGCGAGAAGAATAAAGTAAGATCTTATTTGGTAAAAACGGAATGTGATGAGACGTTCGCAGACACACATCGTATTATATCTATTTATTCAACTTTCAGACTGCGATATGTGTATTTCTATAACTGTCTGATGATTTGCTGGGATGTCGCCTACATGAATATCCACATGTACATTTCTACAGGATTATAACAAAGTTATGACGTCACTCTATTGTTTCAACTACATATCTGTACATAACGGATTGTCATTTTACTGACGTACTTTCTGTAATGTAAATTAAGCTCATGCATTAATTTGAAGCAATTGCATTACGAATTCACTGGCTGCAGCAATCAAATGGCACATAAGGCACGTGCAGCACGAACATACGGGCTAGTTCAAATTCAGAACGGATATCGAAGCACAAAGTTAACGATTGTCATGTATTACGAATGTACTGCATGTAATTTCATGTAAAAGCATACTTGAGTTGTATGTATCCTCATTTAGTTATTGTTTATGTTAACCTTCAGTCTATATTTTAAACTGATTGCGCGGTATTTGTTACTTTGATGCTGTAATTCAGATCACGAACGCGTAACTGGACATTCGTCACTAATAGTGATACTGGCCGGCTTTGATGATAGTAGATTATTTGTAACTAATGTCTAGATATGTGTGCGTCATTATTAACTTAATGAGAAGTATCCACATATAAAAGATAGGAAATTGTGGTTTTGTTGTTTCAAGGAAGCGTTAATAACCACCAGTTAACCATCCAAGGGTCTGATTATTTGCAAATGGATAAATCCGGAAAATGCGAATGGGCCGAAATCGGATCAATCTAACCGGGACGAAAATAG